GTATATGCTCGTGATAATTGTTCAATTAAATTTAAAGTATTCTATATAAAATAAAATAAAAAAAATCAACAATAACAGAATGTTTAACAGACTTGTAATTCTTTAATATTATTGGATTGAATAACTTCAGTAAGAAGAAAAGCTAGAGCTGTATTCAAATGTTCGATTAAATCATCCAGACCATTTTGAGATTCTGTAAAAAAAACGAAATTATTGTTTGAATACATAGATTTAAAATCTACAAACCAGTTGACGATATATTTGATGTATTACGATATTTAAGAATAATTCGAAGTGTTGTTGAACAACATTGATAAGCAACTTGAATATTATTATGTATAGTAAACATTTGTAGAAGTTTTTTCAAATCTAATTTATAATAATAATAAAAAAAAATCTTTTTGTCTTTTTCTTTTAATACCTGCCGCACGCATTGGAGAAATATAACCACCTCCACTAATAAGTGTTTCAACTATTCGTAAGACTTGTAATCGTACAAAATCATCATTACTATTATTTGCAAATTGAATAAGATCCTATGACAAAAATAAATATGAAACTTATATAAGAAATTTGTAAGTCTCTTACTTCTGTTGTAGAATCCAGCCAGACAATTAGACCACATCGAGCAATAGGAACAAGATGATGGAGAATTAGCTTTCGACAGTTTTGACGTGGTTCAAGTTTAAGAAATTTAAGAAAAAACGTTACCTATTCAATCTTGACAGTTTAATAAGAATTAGAAAAAGACAAAAGAATGACTTACTGTTTCACCAATTTCAATATGACTTTTAACAGCTAATCGAGCTAATGTTGGAACAGCTATTTGAAGAAATTCTTCTGTTGTATCATTAGTCATCAATGATATTAACAATTGACGTCCCTATAATAATTAAAATTTCTAACCAAACGATTTTTCTTCAACTACAATATATACTTTCATTGAAACAGTTGAATCATGTGTCATATGTTCAAAAAGTGGAATAAGCCAAGATTTTATAGTTAATGGTGTAGTTAAATCTTCAATTAATGAAACAAGTTTTATACTAATTGACATAGCAAATGTTCTAGAGATAGAAAATAGTTATATATATTCTTTTTTTTCGAATAGTTTTATTTTCAATCTACTTTGAACATGGAATAAATTTTTTTGCAGCTTTTACAGCAGCTAATATTTCAATTTCATCATTGGAATCTAATGCAAGACGAATATGTAAATGTGCTTCAACATCATCAGCTAAAATATGTGCTAACATAGCAAGAGCTCTAAATAATATACATATGCATCGAAAAATTGAATAGAAAAATTTAAACAAAAAACCTTAATGTTAATGCTCGTGCAATACAATCATTACTATGCATAACGGAATAAATCAATTTAATAGGATCATCTAACATCGATGATTTTTGTAATTGATTTGCCAATCGATCAAGTACTTTTGTTACATTCAAACGCATTTCATTTGTTCTAAATAAAATAAAGTTTTCTGTAACTATTTTTATATGCAAATATAATGTACCCTTCTTGAAAAAGTGTTGCCAATTTAATAAATGCTGCTGAAAGAAGCGTTGTTGATGTTGTTTCTTTTTGAAATAGACCAGGCATTCTTAATATAGCCTCAAATTGTCGTTGAGGTTCTTTTGAACGAATACCTGAACGAAGGGAGATACGAAACAAGTCAAGTACATATATACATTTAAACACTCAAACAAACCTCGATCAATCTCAACCCATAAACGATTAGGGTCATCACTATAACTCGTAGTTTGATTATTTAAAAGCATATCCATTGTGAGATATATATATATATGAAATCTATTTCAATAAATGATATAGAAATATATTATATTAATTGATGATTTTTTTTTCCAAAGCAATGTAAAGAAGACAAAACAAGTTAACAAATATCATTGACAAAAAAAAGAGAGAGAAAACAAACTGACAAACAAACAAACATTCTCGAAATTTCTATTGTATAATTATTCTGCTCAGAGTTTTTCATTAAATATATAGATGTAAGAAGGTTTAAGTAAGACAAGAGAAGACACCATAATAGGAAAAAAGAATAAATTAGAAAAACAACATTTCATTAAATATATCATTAACTCGTTCTTCATTCAAAAAAAAACATGAAAAAAAAAGGAAAAAAAAGATTAGAACAAAAACGCAAATCGATTGTATTCAACAATTATAAAGATATATGACTAGAAATGAAACAAACTAGTGACATAGAGAATTCATTATTAATTTAACAAACACATAGAATGACTAAGATTTTATTGCATGTTTATTCAGATAAATAATGTACGATTTATCACTTGTATATATGGATTCTATTGTGTTGACTGTTGTTTATATTTATGGGTTATTTTTTCATTTCAGTGGTTCAATAAGAATCTATAAGAAAAATAAATTAAAAGATAAAATATATCATTTCTTCATGCTTCTTCCTATCATTTTTCAAGTGCGAGGAAGTAGTCCATTCATCGAAAAATCAGCATCGTATCTCATTCAAAGAATCGTTTTTATTGCATCTAAAAAGTACATTTCGTCAACTCTTCTACTCATAAAGTCTCAACTACTTAGATTATTTTATGAAGTCATACATATATTTATGACTTTGTATTCAACATGATTTGTAATAAGCTATTAGTCAGCTAAATATTTATTTAAAGTACAAAATTTTTATTATACCTCATTCAATATCACCCATGCATCTGATTTTGAATGTACTTTTAAGCGAACATTTGATATCGGTCCAAGTACTTTATCAACAAATGCTTCAGCAATACCAGTATCATGTGAAAAATTTGCTACTGTAAAATATCCATCACTATCTTTAATATAGTTTAATTTTTGTTTTGGTTGTACATATGGTTGTAGATCAACAGTTGTATTAAAAAATTTGTCTCCTGGATGTTCAGGATTACCTGATTTAAAATAAACTCTATGAAAAAAGAAAATAATATTTTATTTTTTTGATGTTTTTAGTTGAAATTACCTTGATAATAAAAGTGGTGGATCGTATTTTAATACAATAGTATCATCTTTTTTAGGTTGTAATGCCCAAAAGAAATTTTGTCCTGCATAACAATTTGCTAATGTATGTTTATCATAATCTTTTAATGTTGATACAATCGATGATACAGATGGATTTTCATGTGATTTAAATAATTTAACATTTTTACCAAAATCTTTATCTTTTAATTTTTGTATTTTACCCTTTAATGATGAATAAATTCCAATATGTTGAAATAGAGATGGACGAAAACGAAAACGATGTAAACTTTTTGTTCTTGTACATGATTGAACATCAGCACCAAATGAACAATATTTTGTATCTTGATAACTACATATCAATTCAAATGAAATATTATGTCAAAAAAAAAAGATTTAACTTACTATTCAAGTAACCAATCAATAGGTTTATCAGCAGAAAACATAAGAAAAAAGTTAACAAGTGCATTTAATTCAGCTGTATGAAACATTTTGCCAATAAAACCTTAACAAAAAAAAACACAATGACATATATATAATTCAGCTTCATATTCTCTGACTTGTTAGATAAATAAATATGTTATGGGATTGATTATACTACTCTCATTAATTTAATTAGCAATATAAACATACCATGAGAAGAAAAAAG